TTTGTAGAACGCCACGTCCGACGTGGTCACCACCCGGTTGGCGTCGACATCGAGGAGCTCCCAGCCCTTGCTCGCCGCCGACACTCCAAGGTGAAGGCCCCACCTGGCCTTCGGCTTCAGCTTCCCACCACGCTGCTGCTCGGTGACACTGCGCCATGCAGCCCCACTCCCGGGCCAGCGACAAGTCGGGCTTCTGCCCGGTGAGCAGCTGGTACGGTGTCGTCCCCGGCGGCAGCGTCGACCTCTCAAGGCAGTTGCGGACCCAGACGGCCTGCCGCAGAGCGAGGTGCCACCAGTGGTGCTGCACGCCCATGTGCAGCAGCATCGTCCGCACCGACTCCACCACCATCCTCATCTCCCGCTCCGCCATGCCGTTTTGCTGCGGGGTGTACGGGCAGGTGAGGTCGTGGACGATCCCCTTGCCATCCACGAAGTCGGTGAACTTCTTCCCGAGGAACTCCCCACCTCGATCGGAGCGAAGCATCAGCACCGACTTCTTCGCCTGCCTCTCCACCAACACCAGCCACTTCTGGAACTCCAGCAGCACATCCGACTTCTTGGCGACCGGCCTCACCCACACGAAGCGGGTCTTGCGGTCCTTCAGCAGCAGGAAGTACAAGCTGCCGTCCTTGGCAGCCACGCGGAACGGCCCGCACAGGTCGATGTGCACGACGGCCAGCACGTCGTCGGCGTCGGAGCCTTGGTCGGGGAAGGTGTGCCGCTCCAGCTTCCCGCCGACGCACGAGACACACGGTGAGTCGGCGCCCGTCGCCGACTTGAGGTCCAGCCCAGTGGCGACCTCGTGCTTCGCCGAGCTCCGTATGGTGTCCATGCCGACATGTGCAAGCCTCGCATGCATCCTGTCCGACGTCGACTTGTCTTCGAGACGATCGCCCGCATGGCCACAACCTCCGGCGTGGGCGACGTCGACCTCGTTGAGCAGGGATGCAGGTCGGTGCAGAGGACACGCCCGGAGTACGTCGCCCGACCGAGCACCTCTCCCGCTGCCGAGACGAGCAGCATCCCGTCGCCGTCCTCCTGCAGCTTCACGCCGTGCTCCTTCAGTTGGCCGGACGACAGCAGGTTGGCCACGTACAGCACGTCGGGATGAGCACCAGCTTCCCGGCCTCTTCTTTCAGGGCGATGGTGCCGCGGCCCTGGACGTCCCGTCGAATGAGTCAGCATTCTGAACGCGGGCCAAAAAAACTAAAACCCACTCGGATGCCATGCCATTCGGGAGGCATCAACCCTAAAAAATTAGGGTCGATGCCTCCTGAATGGCATGCCGTTCGCGATGGGTTTTAGTTTTTTTGCCCACGTTCAGCGCTAAACGGCATCTAGATGATCGCGCATAAACCTTTATGAGCGCGCATAGAATATGCTTGGGTGGGGAATAACCTACGCAACGACGGGATGAGACAAGTGCGAACAAAGCTTTGGGGGATAATTCCCTTATCGGGTAATGTGCCGGCTAAAAACAAGTTTGTAGGAATGCCCTGGCAAACCCACTCCTGCAATTATCACATGAATGTAGAACTACGGGGGCAAATGAAGGCCACGTGTGCAACAAGCAATCTCCAAACCCGTGCATGGGGCAAATCTCTCTGTTAGCTCATACTAAAGCCATGTTTCTTCTTTGTTTCTTCGGTGTTAACCAATCGGAGGCACCCCCCGTACCTTCCATTTGCCATAGCTCCATCAATTCGGCAGACGAGTCCCCGATTGAACGGTTGTTAGACGATCTACTCGCGAAAATCCTCCATCTAGCTTCTGAAACCGGCAGGTTCCAGCACGCGCTAGTGTGCAAGAAGTGGCGCGACTTGGCGTATCGCATGCATGGAACCGTTCACCTGCGCGGCGACCGTCGTATGGACGCTTGCCAACTTCTCTTCGAGCTCTCGTCATTCCCGAGATTGAAGAAACTAATCCTGCCTTATCGGAGTCTGACATCCATTCCTGGGGGCTTCCTCTCGACCATGGGTGCCATGCATCCCGAGCTGATCAAGTTCCGCTTTTACACCATGTACACTAACGACGCACCCATTGAATGCTTCACCGAGGAAGGCCTTCCACGGATGCACGCGCCTCGAAGACCTCAATCTGGAGTGCCCGCCGAGTCTTCCCGCCATTCCCGCCGCCATTGGCGCCCTCGCGCGCCTCACCCACCTGCACCTCGCGGCGCACGTGCACCGCCTCCCGGACGCCTTCATGTGCTTGCGCGCGCTTCGCACGTGCGTGCTACACATGCCCACCCTGCAAGAGCTGCCTCTGGGCTTCGGCAGACTCACTTGCCTCACGTCGTTGCAGCTGGATGTTTGTCAGTCTCTCACTTCACTCCCCGAATTTTTTTGCGAGCTTGCGAATTTACTCCGATTTACCATCAGCGGTTGCAGCTCCAACACCGTCAGCAGCTCCAGCACCTCCATTAGCAGCAGCACCTCCGTCACCTCCAGCCACAGCACCGCCAGTCGCAGCAGCACCCTCGGCTCCGGCAGCTCCAGCACCTCCAGCAGCAGCAGCACCTCCGCCACCTCCAGCCTCAGCACCACCAGTCGCAGCAGCACCCTCAGCTCCGGCAGCTCCAGCACCTCCAGCAGCAGTAGTACCTCCGCCACCTCTAGCCTCAGCACCACCAGTCGCAGCAGCACCCTCAACTCCGGCAGCTCCAGCACCTCAAGCAGCAGTAGTACCTCCGCCACCTCCAGCCTCAGCACCACCAGTCACAGCAGCACCCTCAGCTCCGGTAGCTCCAGCACATCCAGCAGCAGTAGTACCTCCGCCACCTCCAGCCTCAGCACCACCAGTCGCAGCAGCACCCTCAGCCCCTGCAGTCTCAGCACCTCCAGGGGCAGGGTCTCCAGCTCCGGCAGAACCACTCCGAAGGGGGGTGAGACGAGCGTACCACTCGCGGAGCTGCTGGGGAGAGGGAAGCTCCCTCGCGGAGGACCGCCTCAGCGAGGCACCTCGGGGCTCCGCACGCGTAGTCGCAGCACTCCCAGGCTCCGCTGCCGCCGGCCCAGCACTCCCAGGGGCAGTACCAACAGCACCACTCCGAAGGCGGGAGCGCCAGGAGTACCACTCGCGCAGCTGCAGTGGAGTGAGCTCCCGGCGTGAACGAACACCCGCAGCAGCACCAACTCTCGGCTCAGCACCCCCAGGCTCCGCACTCGCAGGCTTAGCACCCCCAGACTCCTCACCCGCAGGCTCCGCACCCCCAGGCTCAGCACCCCCAGACTCAGCACCCCCAGGCTCAGCACCCTCAGGCTCAACACCCCCAGGCCCCCCACCCGCAAGCTCAGCACTCCCAGGCGCAGCACCCCTAGCAGGACCAGAGTCGACAGCTACCTCGACAGGCTCGACCGGGTCTACCTGAGACACACCTGAAGGAGCAGGACCCTGAGGGGGGAGGGGGTCTACCGGAGGAGGACCTGGTACGAGGAAGAGGGGCGGGGGAGGGAGCGGGGCTGTGCGGTAGGGGAAGAGACGGTAAAAGGGAACAGACTCGTCAAAGGTGACGTCGTGAGAGGGCAGGACACGGCGCGAGGTGGGGTGGTAAAACTGCCAGCCAGGCGCGTCCGGAGGAAAGCCAAGGAAGACACAGGGAACAGCGCGGGCGGAGCTTGTCCGCGGACGTATCGCGGACAAAGGCACGAGATCCCCAGACCCGGAACACCGACTCATCGCAAACCTCTCCCGTCCAACGCAGTATCGTCGAAGTCTCCGGAACGGAGACACGGGGCCAGAGGTTGAGCTGATGCGCAGCGTATCGGACCGCAAACGGCCACAGAAAGTGGGGGGCAGCCGCATGGATCAAGGAGGTACGAGCGACCTCCATGACCAAGCCAATGCGGCGCTCAGCAACCCCATTCTGCTGTGGAGAGGCCGGAAGCGTGAACGACTGCTCAATGCCCTCCCCACGACAAAAGTCCCTCAATAGGTCGGAGGAAAACTCCCCACCTCTGTCAGAGTGCAGACGCAGGACTGGAAAGTCCGAATGGAACCTCTCGCTGAGCTGGAGACGGGCAGCGCGGATCCAAGGGATCAAAACATCAGGGACTTCACCCTTGGTGCGCAAGGGGAAGACCGTGGTGTAGCGCGGGTAGTCGTCAACAACTATCAAGAAGTACCTCTCGTGACCCTGTCCACGGACGCGGGCTGGGCCCCACACGTCCATGTGGAGAGTCTGCAGGGGAGCAGTCGTCGGGGGAAACGAGGAGGAGTGAGGAGCAGCGCGCTGCCGCCCCTCGACACAGGGAAGACAGGGAGGAGCAGGCGAGGGTGGGAGGGGAGGGAGTACCCTGGGAAGACCAGAGACAAGAACACGGCGGTGCATGCCACGAAGGCGCTGCACCGAGGGGTGCCCAAGGCGGTGGTGCCAAAGGACGGTCTCGTGCGACAAAGCGCGACACGAGCAGGGGGCCGACAGCTAACCTGACGCTGACACAGACGCAGCGACCTGACGCAACTGACCGTACGCAGACGCAGCAACCTGAGGAGACTCAGTGGTCAGTGTGTACAGGTTCGACCCTGGCCGACGAGTGAACGTGGCCAGGTGACGACCCGTCCGCGCACACGTACAGTGGGTCACACGCTACCCTCCAGGAGTCCACTGGGAAACCCACTCATCCTGGAGGACACCGCCACTCACCAAGTTCGTAGAGAACGAGGGGAGGTGGAGACCCGACAGTGAGCCAGACGGAACCGCCGGACACGGGAAGACAGTGGAGGAACTCGCAAGGACCGGGCCCCCAGAGGGGTCAGCCAGGGAGACAGCAACAGGCCGGGGGAGCAGTGTGAGGGCAGTACGGTCGCGAAAGAAACAGCGGGAAGCACCTGAGTCAAGAACGAAGGTGTGCAAGGCCTTAGTAGGCGCAGTACCAGACAGCGCAGACTCACTAGCACCTGGAGCAGCAGACTCACTAGCACCTAGAGCAGCAGCCTCACTAGCACCTGGGGCAGCCGACTCAATAGCACCTAGAGCAGCAGCCTCACTGGGCTCAATGCCCGGGTCAGGCGGAACACACAGGTAACAGTCATCCTCAACACTAACAGTCAATGCATACATGGCACAAAGGATAGCATCAAAGTCAAGAGCAAAGATATCAATGTTGCTCTTAAGCAGATCAGCCCAGCGAGGGAGCTCAGCGGCATCAGGAAACTGTGCGCGCCAGGCGTCGTCGAGGCGAGAGAAGCAGCGGTGCTGCGTGTGGAACCTCCCACACGTCTGGCCAGCGCGGTCACCAGTGCGGATGACGTACGGGCAGCTACCCCCACCCCCAGACCCCCCACCTCGCTAAGAGTACCACTCACGAAGCTGCTGGGACGACGGGGTCTCGCGGGGACGCTGCTGCTGCTGGCGCTGGTCACTACCAGAACCTCCACGCTGCGCCGCTCCACCGCGACCACCGCCACCGCCGCCGCCACCACGCCCACTGCCGCCACCACCACCGCCTCCACCCCAGCCTCCTCCCCCACCGCTGCCACCACCACTCCCGCCGCTGCCACTGCCCCCCCCACTCCCGCCACCACCCCCACCGCCGCCACCACCCCCACCGCCTCCGCCACCTCCAGCACCACCTCCCCCGCCTCCACCTCCGCCCCCCTTGCCCCCCTTGCCCCTGCCGCTGCGGCGCGTCCCACTAGGAGCAGACGCAGCCCCGGCCTTCTCAGCACCAAGAAGGTCAACAGCAGCAGCAGAGGCAAACGAGGGGAGCAGGGGGCAGGGGGGACACCCCTCGAAGAACGGGGTGCGGGGTTCGCCACGAGAGGCACCTAATGCTAGCCTCAGCTGCAAGCAGTTGTGTCTCAAGCAGGTCAACGGTGAGCTCGGTGGGGGAGAGAGCTAGGAATTGGTCCCTGACTGGACGAAGAGAGTCAGGGAGATGGGCGACGAGGTGATAAAGGGTGAGGTACATTGGGGGGGGGTTCTTGGCTAGGAACTCGGCAGGAAGGGCAGCTCGGTAGCGAGTGTCACTAGTACGGAGGTGAGTGATGAGGTCAGCGACTGTGGCAAAAGCAGCTAGATCGGGGAAAAGATAGGGCAGTGAGAGGCGACCGATCGCAGCAGTGGCAGGGGAAGAGTAGCGTGCAACTACCGCGTCGTACAGCGCCTTAGCGGTCTTATGCTGGCTAAAGTGCGCACGCTGGTCTATCGGCAGGTGGCTGCGAACGGCTAGGCGAGCGTGAGCGTCACGGGTCTGCCACTGTGAGCGAATCGAGCTGTCAGCGGTCTCAGCAGGTGCGAGGGAGGCTCCAGAAGTGTGATCGAACAGTGAGATATCGTCCTCGGCTGTAATCTGTAGGAACAGGTGCAGATCGTCGAGCCAGGCATCAAACTGGATAGGGCGGCCCTCAGTATCGAACGCGAGAACGGTGGGGTTGGCCATACTGGCAGTAGCAGCAGTAGCAGTAGTAACAGCAGTAACAGTAGCAGTAGCAGTAGTAACAGCAGCAGCTGCAGTAGCAGACAGTAGCAGCAGCGCAGCTCGATAGGGCAGGGCGGCGCGACTCGGGCAGGGCGGCGCGGCTCGGCTCGGCAGCGCGGCTCGGCTGGGGCTGCGCGTCTCGGGCAGGGCGGCGCGGTGCGAGTAGGCAGGGCGCACGCGGGCTGCTTGCGGGCTGCGCGCGGGCAGCTTGCGGGCGCGCGCGGGCTGCTTGCGACTAGCGCGGGCGGCCTGCAGGCTGCGCGCGGGGCTGCACGACGGCGTGCGTGCGGCTAGCGGGCTGCGCGAGCTGCGTGCGGCTAGCACGGGCTGCTAGCGGGCTGCGCGCGAAGCTGCACGGGGCCGCGCGGGCGGCTAGCGGGCTGCGCGAGCGGCTTGTGGGCTGCGCGTGCGGCGTGCGGGCTGCGTGTGCAGCGTGCGGGCTGCGCGCGAAGCTGCACGGGGCAGAGTAAATGCGTTACTTACCCATATAGTTGGTACAAAGAGTAAGTGTGGTTGGTACTAACAGCTAGTGCGTTACTTACCCATATGGTTGGTACGAAGAGTATGCGCGTTACATACCCATATAGTTGGTACTAAAAAAAGTGCGTTACTTACCTATATGTTTGGTACTAACAGTAATTGCGTTACTTACCTATATGGTTGGTACAAAGAGTAAGTGCATTACTTATCCATATGGTTGGTACTAAAGAATAAGTGCGTTACTTACCCATATGGTTGGTACTAAGACTAAGTGCATTACTTACCCATATGGTTGGTGTCAGAATATGAACGAAGGAATGATTGACTAGCAAGCAGTTTGGGTACAAGTGGGAAACCTAGAAATGTTGTACCCTATGTGAACTACCCCACTACAGCCTACAAAGACTATAGCATATAAGTTTGACACACCCCCATAGGCAAATTGGGGGAGAACAAGAGGTCACAAGACCAGTCAAGAGAGGCAAAGCAAGCTCAGGGTGGATCACAACGTCACCACGCATTCCGAGCACAAGCAAATGGCCACAAGGCCAGTTCACATGCAGAGTTATATAAATGAGAACAAGCAATACAGTGATCACAACCTAGCAAGTGTAAGCATGCAGGTATAAGTATAGATATCACAGTACAAGCAGAGTCAAGAAGTAAGCAAGTGAGGCACAGTAGGCACAAGGCCAAGAACAGTACAGAAACGCTGATGATCACAAGGCTGGAGTGCCTTGGTGAAGACATCAGCAGTGTTGGCCTGAGTGGCCACGTAAGCAAGACGAAGCTGACCACGCTGCTGCAACTCCCGAGCAAGGAAGTAGCGCAGAGCGATGTGCTTCGTTCTGTGCTCCAGTCTGTGCTCCTGACACAAGGCAATCATGGCCTTGTTGTCGACGTACAGCACTGGAGGAGAACGAGGCACCTCGCCCAGGTCGGTCAGCAGGTAGGTAAGCGAGTGTAGCTCCTGTGTAGCCATGGCCCCGGCGTAGATCTCAGCCTCACAGCTGGAGCTGAGAACAGAAGAAGAGCGGGTGGACCGCCAAGAAACAGAGCCGGAGCCAAGGCTGAAGGTGTAACCCTGTGACGACCGCTGCGTAGCCAAGTCGTCAGCCCAAGAAGCGTCTGCGTGACCAGTGAAGACAACTCGAGCCCGTCCTCCAAGCACGAGCCCCATGCCCGACGTACTGCACAAGTAGCGCAACACCCTCTTAGCTGCATCCATGTGCTCCTTCCTGTGTCGGCCAGGAGCGACATAGCGTGCTAGACTGCTAAGAGGGTAGGCAAGGTCAGGTCGAGTGCAGGTCATCAGGTACATGAGGCAGCCCACAAGCTCTGGATACGGGCCACTCGGCTCTACGGACTCGTTCGAAGGTGGAGCTGAGAGCGAGTGACCGGTAGGCAGAGGAGTGGACTGTGGCAAGGAGTACGTGAAGTGGAAGCGCTGAAGGACCTGCTGCACCATGTGTGACTGAGTCAAGGTAATGGTGCGCTGTGCTCTGTCCCGGGTGATCCGCAAGCCAAGATAGCTTGTCAGCTCACCCAGGTCTGTGCACGTGTGTCTCTTCTGCAGCTCCGACTTCATGTGGGCGAGTGCCTCAGTGTCAGCAGTAGCAAAGACCAGGTCGTCTACGTACACGAGAACGTAGAACGGCGGCAGAGTGGTGTCGGTGCGTAGAAACAGCGACGGGTCAGCAGTAGAAGGAGCAAAACCAAGAGCAGCAAGAGTCGTCCTCAGTGTGTCGTGCCACTCACGGGGTGCCTGGCGGAGACCGTAGACTGGCCGCCAGAGGCTCCACTGGGTACCAGGAGGAAACGACCCAGTGAAGCCAGGTGGGCGGCGCAGCCAGATCTCCTCGTGCAGGCTGCCCTGTAGGAAAGCAGTGCTGAAGTCAAGAGAGTGGAGCTCGTAGTCACGCTGAGCGGCGACGTGCAGCAGAACCCGAAGAGTGGTCATCTTCGGGGTAGGGGAGAAGGTCTGGAAGAAGTCAACTCCCTCACGCTGAGTGAAGCCCCGTGCAACGTAACGCGCCTTGAAGACATGCGGAGAACCCGGCGGCCGCTTCACCCTGAACATCCACATGCCACTGACGATGTTCGCCCCAGGCGGGGGAACCTCGTCGACGTAGGTGCCTGTGGACTTCCAGGAAGCCATCTCTGCGTCCATGGCTGACTGCCACTGAGAGGAGTAGGGACCATCGCCTCTGCGTAAGAGCGCGGGGTCGGGATGTCTGGTGCATCCGGGTCTCCCTCACGGGCAATCAGCATGGACACGAGATGAGGTAAAGCAGCGGCAAAGCACTCAAACTCCTCCTGTCTGACCTCAAGGACGTCCGTGCCAAGAGCACACTCACCCCCGACGGACGGAGGACAGACAGACTCAGACTCAGCAACAAGGCTAGCGGCGTAGTCTAGACGACAGGCGGCAGCAAAATCAACAAGCTCAGCAACTAGAGCAGATGCAGCAGTGGACTCAAAGGAAGGGTCAGTGACAACAGTGGTGAGGAAACGTGTGACAGTAGGACTGGCAGCACGAAGGGAGTCAGACTCCGGGTCCGGACCGTCAGGAAGAGAGGACGCAGGAGGAGACGGCAGAGGGACACGCTGTGGAGCAGTCGAAGGACGCAGAGTCATATAGTGAGCGCCAGGGATAGGAGGAGGACGCTCACGCGGAACACGACGACCAGTGCGGACAGCGCGGACAGGCGACTCTGGACGAGACTCAGGCGACGTAGGACGAGACTCAGGCTCACGACGCTCCGTAAGACCTCTAGTCGGTCCAGCGTAAGGAGAAGGACCAGGCAGCGGAGAGGCCGGCTGTAACTGTGACTGCGACTGGACAGGCGGTGGACTCAGTAGGGGAGGAGGAGGACCAGTAGAGGGCGGGAGGCCAAGAACCTGCTGAAGGAGCGGAACGTAGTACGGCCGCGGCCGCGCAGCACCTCCTGAACCAGCAGAGACAGCACCAGCACCCTCAGCTCCAGGGTCTCCAGCTACAACTCCCGCAGCACCTCCAGTCCCAGTAGCTCCAGTACCTCCAGTACGAGCACCTCCAGGACCAGCGGCTCCAGCAGCTCCAGCACCAGCAGCACCTCCAGCAGCACCACCAGCAGCTCCAGCACCAGCAGCACCTCCAGCAGCTCTAGCACCAGCAGCACCTCCAACAGCTCCAGCACCAGCAGCACCTCCAGCAGCTCCAGCACCAGCAGCACCTCCAGCAGCACCACCAGCAGCTCCAGCACCAGCAGCACCTCCAGGACCAGCGGCTCCAGCAGCTCCAGCATCAGCAGCACCTCCAGCAAGCTCCAGCACCAGCAGCACCTCCAGCAGCTCCAGCACCAGCAGCACCTCCAGAAGCTCCAGCACCAGCAGCACCTCCAGCAGCACCACCCGCAGCTCCAGCACCAGTAGCACCTCCAGCAGTAGTCCCCCCAGCTCCAGCAGCACGGCTACAGCGCCGAGCGTACCACTCACGAAGCTGCCGTGGAGAGAGGGGCTCCCGCCGCGACGGGACACTCGGAGGACCTCCAGTCTCAGCACCCCCAGACTCAGCAACCCCAGGCTCAGCACCCCCAGGCTCAGCACCCCCAGACTCAGCAACCCCAGGCTCAGCACCCCCAGGCACAGCACCCCCAGGCTCCGCACCCCTAGCAGCACCAGAGTCAACAGCTACCTCGACCGGCTCGACAGGGTCTACCTGGGACACACCTGAAGGGGCAGGACCCTGAGGGGGGAGGGGGTCTACCGGAGGAGTACCTGGTGCGAGGAAGAGCGGCGGGGGGGGGGGGGGAGAGGGGCAGTGCGGTAGGGAAAGAGACGGTAGTAGGAGACCGACTCGTCAAACGTGACGTCCTGAGAGGACAGAACACGGCGCGAGGTGGGGTGGTAAAACTGCCACCCAGGGGCGTCAGGGGGGAAGCCAAGGAAAACGCAGGGAACAGCACGAGAGGACAGCTTGTCCGCGGAAGTATCGCGGACAAAAGCTCGAGATCCCCAGACACGGTACACAGACGCATCACCAACCTTCCCCGTCCACCGCAGAGTAGGTGTGGTTTCCGGCAAGGAGACACGAGGCTGAAGGTTGATCTGATGCGCAGCGTACTGAACAGCGAACGGCCACAGAAAATGGGGAGCAGCCGCATGGATCATGGACGTGCGAGCAACGTCCATGACCATGCCAATGCGGCGCTCAGCAATGCCATTTTGCTGTGGGGAGGCCGGAAGCGTGAACGTCTGGCGGTGTGAAGTGTGAAAGTGTGCAAGGCCTCAGTAGGTGCAGTACCAGAGAGAGCAGACTCAACAGCACCTGGAGCAGCAGACTCACTAGCACCTGGAGCAGCAGACTCACTAGCACCTGGAGCAGCAGACTCACTAGCACCTAGAGCAGCAGCCTCAATGCCCGGGTCGGGCGGAACACACAGGTAACAGTCACCCTCAGCACTATCAGTCACAGCATACATGGCAGCAAGGATAGCATCGAAATCAAGATCAAAGATAGCAACATTCTGCTTCAGCAGATCACCCCAGCGGGGGAGCTCTGCGCCGTCAGGAAACTGTGCACGCCAGGCGTCAGTCAGGCGACCGAAGCAGTGCTGCGAAGTGTGCGGTCCACCGCACGTCTCTCCACGACGCCCGCCTGTGCGAAGAACGTAAGTGCAGGGACCAACACCCCCAGCCCTCCCACGCCCAGCGTACCACTCACAAAGCTGCTGGGGCGAAAGGGTCTCACGGGAACGCGGCTGCTGCTGGCGCTGGCTACCGCCAAAGCCTCCACGCTGTGTGGTACCTCCTCGGCCAGCACCACCACCGCCTCCACCTCCACCGCCGCTGCCGCTGCCTCCACCACCTCCACTGCCGCCCCCACTCCCGTCACCACCCCCACTGCCACCACCACTGCCTCCACCCCCTCCACCGCCTCCACCGCCTCCACCGCCGCCCCCTCCGCCCCCGCCACCACCCCTGCCCCCTTTGCCCTTGCTGTTGCGGCGCCTCCCACTAGGAGCAGACGCAGCCCCGACCTCCTCAGTGCCAACGAGGTCGACAGCAGCAGCAGAAGCAACAGAGGGGAGAAGGGGGACGGGGGAGAACCCCTCAAAGAAAGGGGCGCGGGGGTCGCCGCGAGAAGCACCTACAGCAACAATACTCTTCTCTGCTGCAGTATGGCGCGTCTCAAGCAGGTCAACGGTGAGCTCAGTGGGGCAAAGGGAGAGAAAGTGGTCCCTGACTGAAGAGAGGGAGTCAGGGAGGCGGGTGACTAGGTAGTAGAGGGTGATGTACATGGGGGGGGGGGTTCTTGGCACAGAACTCAGTGGGAAGCGCAGCGCGGTAGCGGGTGTCACTAGTGCGGAGGTGAGTAATGAGGTCAGCAACTGTGGCAAAGGCAGCAAGGTCAGGGAACAGGTACGGCAGCATGAGGCGGCTGAGAGCAGCAGTGGCAGGGGAGGAGTAGCGCGCAACAACAGCGTCGTACAGAGTCCTAGCGGTCTTGTACTGGCTAAAGTGCGCGCGCTCAGCAGACGGCAGGTGACTACGAATAGCAAGACGGGCAGCAGCATCGCGCGTGGTCCACTGCGAGCGAACAGCACTAGCAGTATCAGCAGCAGGTGCAGCAGAGGCGCCAGACGTGAGGTCAAAAAACGAGACTCTGTCCTTGCTATCACACTGCAGAAACAGCTGCATATCATCGACCCAGACGTCAAAGTCCACTGCCTGACCCTCAGCATCGAATGTAAGGACGTTAGGGTTAGCCATGGCAGCAGAAGCAGCAGTAGCAGTAGCAGCAGTAGCAACAGTAGCAGTAGAAGCAGCAGCAGCAGGGCAGTGAGGCTCAGTAGGGTGGCGCGGCTAGGTAGGGCAGCGTAGTTAGACTGGGCGCGCGGCTCGGCTAGGCTGCGCGGCTCGGCTAGGCGGCGCGGCTCGGCAGGGCGGCGCGGCTCGGCTGAGTGGCGCGGCTCGGCTGGGCGGCGCGACTCGGCTGGGCGGCACGGGTGCTTACCAGGGGCGGGTGCAGGGCAGGGCCGCAGTTGGCGACTTTAGGGAGGGGCCGCGTCGAGCAGCGGCAGGGCAGAGGCCGCGGCGGGCGGCAGGGTATGGGCCGCGTCGAGGGGCGGCAGGGTGGGGCCGCGACAAGCGACTAAGCAGGGCCGCAGGCGGCGGCAAGGCAGGGCCGCGACGTAGGGTGGCAGGGCAGGCAGGGCCGCGACGTAGAGCGGCAGGAGAGGGCCGCGATGGGCGGCAAAGCAGGGCCGCAGCGGGCGGCGGATTAGGTCGCGCGACGGGCGGCGGCAAGGCAGGGCCGCGACGGGCGGCTCAGGCAGCAGGGCAGAGGCGCGCGACGGCGCAGGAGGCGCAGCAGCGCGCTTCGGGCAGGTGAAACAGTTTCAGTGGTGGGCCCTAAAAGAACGTTCCCACGGAGGGAACCTGCTCTGATACCATGTCAGAATATGAACGAAGGAATGATTGACTGGCAAGCAGTTTGGGTACAAGTGGGAAACCTAGAAATGTTGTACCCTATGTGAACTACCCCACTACAGCCTACAAAGACTATAGCATATAAGTTTGACAGTTGGTACGAAGAGTAAGTGTGGTACTTACCCATATGGTTCTTACTAACAGTAAGTGTATTAATTACCCATACAGTTGGTACTAAGAGTAGGTGCGATACTTACCCATATGGTTGGTACGAAGAGTAAGTGTGTTACTTACTCATATGGTTGGTACTAACAGTTAGTGCATTACTTACCCATATGGTTGGTACGAAGACTAAGTGCGTTACTTACCCATTTGGTTGGTACTAAGAGTAAGTGCGTTAATTACCCATATGGTTGGTAAACAGAGTAAGTGTGTTACTTACCCATATGGTAGGTACCAACAGTAAGTACGTTACTTATCCATGTGGCTGGTACGAATAGTAAGTGTATTAATTATCCTTGCGGGAGGTACTAAGAGTATGTGCATTACTTATCCTTGCAGTTGGTACGATGAGTAATTGCGTTACTGACCCATATAGTTGGTACTAAGAGTAAGTGCGTTACTTACCCATATGGTTGGTACTAACAGTAAGTACGTAACTTACCCATATGGTTGTTACGAAGAGTAAGTGTGTTACTTTTTCATGTGGTTGGTTCGAAGAGTATGTGCATTACTTATCCTTGCAGTTGGTACTAAGAGTAAGTGCGTTACTTACCCATATGGTTGGTACGAAGAATAAGTGCGTTACCTATCCATATGGTTGGTATTAAAAATTTGTGCGTTACTTATCCATTTGGGTGGTACTAAGAGTAAGTGCGTTACTTACCCATATGGTTGGTACTAAGAGTAAGTGCGTTTCTTACCTATATGGTTGAAACAAAGAGTAAGTGCGTTACTTACCCATATAGTTGGTACTAACAGTAATTGCGTTACTTACCCATATGGTTGGTACGAAGAGTAAGTGCATTACTTACCCATATGGTTGGTACGAAGAGTAAGTGCGTTACTTACCCATATGGTTGTCCCGAAGAGTACGTGCGTTACTTACCCATATAGTTGGTACTAACAGTACGTGTATCAATTACCCATATAGTTTATACTAAGAGTAGGTATGTTACTTACCCATATGGTTGGTACGAAGAGTAAGTGTATTACTTACCTATATGGTTGGTACTAACAGTTAGTACGTTACCTACCCATATGGTTGGTACGAAGAGTATGTGCGTTACGTACCCATATAGTTGGTACTAAAAGTAAGTGCGTTACTTAGCCATATGGTTGGTACGAAGACTAAGTGCGTGACTTACCCATATGGTTGGTACTAAGAGTAAGTGCGTTACTTACCCATATGGTTGGTAAACAGAGTAAGTGCGTTACTTACCCATATGGTTGGTACGAAGAGTAAATGCGTTACTTACCCATATGGTTGGTACGAAGAGTAAGTGCGTTACTTACCTATATGGTTGGTACTAACAGTTAGTACGAAGAGTATGTGCGTTACTTACCCATATAGTTGGTACTAACAGTTAGTATGAATAGTATGTGCGTTACTTACCCATATGGTTGGTACAAAGAGTATGTGCGTTACTTACCCATATAGTTGGTACTAAAAGTAAGTGCGTTACATACCCATATGGTTGGTACGAAGACTAAGTGCGTGACTTACCCATGTGGTTGGTACTAAGAGTAATGCGTTACTTACCCATATGGTTGGTAAACAGAGTAAGTGCGTTACTTGCCCATATGGTTGGTACTAACAGTAAGTACGTTACTTACCGATGTGGTTGGTACGAAGAGTAAGTGCATTACTTATCCTTGCGGTTGGTACTAAGAGTAAGTGCATTACTTATCCTTGCGGTTGGTACGAAGAGTATTTGCGTTACTTACCCATATAGTTGGGACTAAGAGTAAATGCGTTACTTACCCATATAGTTGGTACAAAGAGTAAGTGTGGTTGGTACTAACAATTAGTGCGTTACTTACCCATATGGTTGGTACGAAGAGTATGTGCGTTACATACCCATATAGTTGGTACTAAAAAAAGTGCGTTACTTACCCATATGGTTGGTACGAAGAGTAAGTGCGTTACTTACCCATATGGTTGGTACTAAGAGTAGGTGCATTACTTACCCATATGGTTGGTACTACAGGTAAGTGCAACGTTGGTACCAACAGTAATTACGTTACTTACCCAAATGGTTGGTACGAAGAGTAAGTGTGATACTTACCCATGTGGTTGGTACGAAGACTAAGTGCATTACTTATCCTTGCGGTGGGTACTAAAAGTAAGTGCGTTACTTACCCATATGGTTACTAAGAGTAGGTGCGTTACTTACCATATGGTTGGTACGACGGGTAAGTGCATGGTTGGTACCAACAGTAAGTACGTTACTTAACCAAATGGTTGGTACGAAGAGGACGTGTGTTACTTACCCATGTGGTTGGTACGAAGAGTAAGTGCATTACTTATCCTTGCGGTTGGTACTAAAAGTAAGTGCGTGACTTACCCATATGGTTGGTACAAAGAGTAAGAGTGTTGCTTACCCATATGGTTGGTACTAAGAGTAAGTGCGTTACTTACCCATTTGGTTGGTACTAAGAGTAAGTGCGTTACTTACTCATATGGTTGGTACAAACACTATGTGCGTTATTTACCCATATGGTTGGTACAAAGAGTAGAACGTTACTTACCCATATAGTAAATACTAAGAGTAAGTGTGTTACTTACCCATATGGTTGGTACTAAGAGTAAGTGCGTTACTTACCGATATGGTTGGTACTAAGAGTAAGTGCGTTACTTACCCATATGGTTGGTACGAAGAGTAAGTGCGATACTTACCCATATGGTTGGTAAGAAGAGTAAGTGCGTTACTTACCCATATGGTTGGTACAAACAGTATGTGCGTTATTTTCCCATATGGTTGGTACGAAGAGTAAGTGCGTTACTTACCCATATGGTTGGTACGAAGAGTAAATGCGTTACTTACCCATATGGTTGGTACGAAGAGTAAGTGCGTTACTTACCTATATGGTTGGTACTAACAGTTAGTACGAAGAGTATGTGCGTTACTTACCCATATAGTTGGTACTAACAGTTAGTACGAAGAGTATGTACGTTACTTACCCATATGGTTGGTACAAAGAGTATGTGCGTTACTTACCCATATAGTTGGTACTAAAAGTAAGTGCGTTACATACCCATATGGTTGGTACGAAGACTAAGTGCGTGACTTACCCATGTGGTTGGTACTAAGAGTAATGCGTTACTTACCCATATGGTTGGTAAACAGAGTAAGTGCGTTACTTGCCCATGTGGTTGGTACTAACAGTAAGTACGTTACTTACCGATGTGGTTGGTACGAAGAGTAAGTGCATTACTTATCCTTGCGGTTGGTACTAAGAGTAAGTGCATTACTTATCCTTGCGGTTGGTACGAAGAGTATTTGCGTTACTTACCCATATAGTTGGGACTAAGAGTAAATGCGTTACTTACCCATATAGTTGGTACAAAGAATAAGTGTGGTTGGTACTAACAATTAGTGCGTTACTTACCCATATGGTTGGTACGAAGAGTATGTGCGTTACATACCCATATAGTTGGTACTAAAAAAAGTGCGTTACTTACCCATATGGTTGGTACGAAGAGTAAGTGCGTTACTTACCCATATGGTTGGTACTAAGAGTAGGTGCGTTACTTACCCATATGGTTGGTACTACAGGTAAGTGCAACGTTGGTACCAACAGTAATTACGTTACT